GCGATCTGCAGGGAGAAGATAAAGGAGCTGCTGGAAGCCGGACTGATTCGGAGATCAGAGTCCGAATACGCCACCCCAACCGTGGTGGCAGCCAGGAAGGACTTGACTGGAGAGGTGCTGAGCAGGAGAATGTGCGGGGATTACAGGGATCTCAACAAAATCACAGTGCCGGATAGATACCCCATGCCGATGGCGGAAGAACTGTTTGACAAGTTGGCCGACGGGGTGTTCTTCACGACGCTGGATTTGCGGCAGGGATTCAATCAAATCAAGATCAGGGAGGAGGATGTAAAGAAAACGGCCTTCCATGGACCAGATGGGTTGTACGAGTGGCTGTATATGCCCTTCGGTCTAAGAAACGCATCGGCAGTGTTCCAGAGAGTCATGGATGCGGTGCTGAGGGGAATAGAACATGCGGCATGCTACATCGATGATGTAGTGATCTTCAGCCTGACCGAACAGCAGCACCTGGAGGACGTGGAGAAGACACTGGCGGCCATAGAAGGGGCAGGGCTCACATGCCATCCCAACAAATGCAGATGGGGGGAGCGGACAGTGCAGTACCTGGGGTATGAGGTCAAAGGGGGGCAGATTGGGATCCAGCAAGCGAAAGTGCAGGTGCTGGACAGGCTGAGGGAACCCAGAGACAAGTCCGGGCTGCGGGCGGTCTTGGGCTTCCTCAGCTATTACAGACGCTTCGTGCCGAACTTCAGCAAGAGAGCAACGGTGCTGAATGGGATGCTGCGGGAAGACAAGGCATGGGAGTGGGGAGAGAAGCAGAGGGAGGCACTGCAAGACCTGATGACCGCTGTGAAGACGGCGACAGTACTGCGGCTGCCGGCAGCAGACCAGCCCTTTGTTCTCTACACTGACTGGAGCAGTCAGGGGATGGGGGCAATACTGTGTCAGGAGGTAGAGGGAGTGGAGAAGGTAGTGGCCTACGCCAGCAGGAGCTGCAACCCGGCTGAGGCACAGTACAGCTCATACATCGGGGAGGGGCTGGCGGCGGTGTGGGCAGTGGGGCATTTCAGAGTATATCTACAAGGGAGAGAGTTCACTCTGGTCACTGACCATCAGCCCCTCACATGGCTGATGACCACACCAGGGCTGACAGGCAGGAACGCAAGGTGGGCAGTAAAGCTACAGGAGTATGACTTTAAGATAAGGCATAGGCCGGGAAAGACACTACAGCACGTCGACGGTCTCTCCCGCAACCCACCACCACTGGAGACGGAACGGAAGGCGGCAGAGGCGGAACAGACAGAGCGGGAGCCAGCGCATACCTTAATTCTACTGGCGCGAGAGGTGGAGCAGAACGGTGCGAAGGGGAGTAAGGGGCCAGCTGACATTTGGCAGGATGCAAAGGCGATGGGATGGGTGAAGGGAGAGACCGAGGAAGATGAGACAGTATCTGAAAGGGTGAGGGCACGAGGGCATCACTACAGGTGGTTTCAACAGCAGCTGCAGATAAAAACAGAGGATGGCTGGAAGCTGGTGCCGGCGCCAGAGGAGCGTGAAGCAGTGATCAGGGAAGTGCACACTAAGCTGGGGCATTTCGGGCATGAGAGGACCGTACACCTGCTGAAAACGGGCTGGTGGTGGGAAGGGATGCGCAGGCAAGTGAAAGAGTGGGTAGAAGGGTGCGAGGCTTGTCAGAGGAGTAAGGCGAACCTCACGCAGGCCAAGGCAGAACTGCAGTCACTGCCCATCTGCGGCTTGGGATTTCGGTGGTCCCTGGACCTGGCGGGAGAGCTGCCGCTGAGCAGGAGTGGGAACCAGTACATAGTGCTCATGATTGAGCATGTGAGCAAGTGGCTGGAGGTGCGAGCCATCCCTAGCAAGAGCGCGAGGCACATAGCAGCGGCATTCAAGGCCCAGGTGGTGTGTCGATTCGGAGCCTGCGGGGAGGTACTCACGGATCAGGGCACAGAATTCCAGGGAGAGTTTAAGAAGTTGCTGCTGGAATCTGGCATCACGCACCGACGAACCTCCCGCTACCACCCACAAAGCGACGGGCTCACTGAGCGCATAGTACAGACCATCAAGCGAGGGCTACGGACCTACGGGGAGCAGAGAAGGAGGGACTGGGATGAGGAGTTGGACTGGATAGCAGCTGGATACAGATTCGGGAAGCAGGCAGCACTGAGGGATCATTCCCCATACAGCCTACTCTATGGACGAGAGCCAATCCTGCCAGTGGGGGCACCAAGGGTACTGACAGACACAGTAACAGCAGGCACGATCAAGAACTGGGTAGCCCTGTCCGACGTGAGGGCACGCTACATGCGCTTCATGATGCCAGCCGCGCTAGAGAACCTGCACACCGCTCAGCTGCGAGATGCCAGGAGATATGAACAGAGGCAACGCAAGGGAGAAGGGAGAGGGGCACGTGGCGTATGTGAGGGGCAGGAAGTGTATCTGAAGAGAGCGAAGCAGGATACTCTCGATGTGGGGTTGGGGACAGTGCGGTGGAAGGTCAAGGAGGTGCGCCCCTCTGGGGTGCTGGTCTTGGAAAACGACAAGGGGGCACAGTTGAAGGAACACCAGACGAATACCGCTGTCATCAGGGGGACAGGGCCTCAGCGTCATGGTCCTGTGACCCGTGCTCAAGCTGCACAAGCGCGGGCACAGGAGGGGGCAGGGAGTGGCTGAGGCAACACAAGAAGCTTCAGGGAGGAAGGGAGTCAGAACGAAGGCAGGTGGCAGGCAAAGCTGTTTCTCCGACAGCTGTCACCGAATATGCACGGTTGTGCATATAAGGTGCCAGTGAGGCTGTGGTGTAGTGTGGGGTGTAGCATTACCGAATATGAACATTTGGGGTGTAGGTAGTTGGGAACCAGGGAGAGTGTCGCGAAGTTGGTAGGAGAGCTCCGAGGGGTGCAATCCAAGGAACCAATGCGAATGAACCAAGCCAGGCTCGAGGCGCACATCGAGAAATGCACGCTTCGAGCCAGGGACAGGTAAATTCACTAACACACACTCACTCGTTGCTTTTCTCTTGTTATTCTTTCATATAGTGGATCGTTGTTACCTTCATCCTACGGCTAGGTGACACACCACTCAGGGAGGACCCTTGAGGTGGGAGCTTTGTCTCTTTCTGGGAGTGGCTGAGGCAACACAAGAAGCTTCAGGGAGGAAGGGAGTCAGAACGAAGGCAGGTGGCAGGCAAAGCTGTTTCTCCGACACCAGCATCCCTGCTACAAGTGACCCGCAGAGACCCATAGTCAGACCACGTCCCTCTCACCACACACCTCCTTCCTTCTGCCTTTGCTCGTCCCCGAGAAAGAACACGGCCACGAGGCATCCAGCAGCCCCGCTGAGCCTCGCCTCACCCGTGATCCTCTAGTGAGCCACCAGTAACTCACAAGTATCACACAGCCCAGCCCACTACTCGCCACTGTCACTCAAGACGCACCTCCTTCCCCCTCTGCTCGTACGCCCTCAAACACCGCCACAGGGCACCCAGGCTTCGCCACGTCAGCAGCCTGTCACGTGCTGCTGGGGGGTGAACAGTGCACCAGTGCTGTAGAGGCGGGAAAGTTGGCGAGGCAGAGGTCGGTGCGGGAGAAACAGGGGGAGGAGAGGAGAGGAGGGGGGAAGGGGGGAGGGGTAGGGGAACGGGAGATGGGGGAAATCGTAATTAATCAGCACAGTGGCTTATGAGAGGGTTGTGCGAGACAGTGTCATAGGGGAGCAAAGGCAGTGTGGCCGAAGCAGGTGGGGAGCTGGTGGTACGATGGGGGTGGAAGGGTAAGTAGAGAAGGTAATGTGTGTTGAAAGGGAGGTGCGTTGCAGCCATGACAAGAAGTGCACAGGTTCCCCTGTGAACAGTGCGCCCATGTCGCAACCTGCAGAGGCGCACAGGCAAGGAGGTAACAGTGCGCAGGTTCCCCGCGCCAGTCTAGAACTTGGGATGGGAACAGTGCGCCACTTCAGCAACCCGCAGGTTCCCTGCGAACAGTGCGCTCATGATGCAGGGGTTAAAATTCATGGGTGGGGGGGGAGCAGGTGAAGAGCTGGTGGTACGACATGGAAATGGTTGGAGGAGGTGGGGAAGGAAGAAGAGAGACAGTGTGTGGGCGAGAGTTGTGCAGCGCCACCGTAAAGGAGGGTATCCATGGGGCAGAGACATTGGCATGGAAGTCGGGAGGGGCGGATCTGGTGATAAGTCGTGGAACGACTTGGGGGAGGTGGAAAAGGGAGAGTATGGGGGTGAGAAGTGCGGCGCCACCGTAGGGGCAGGAATCTATGGGGCAGACACTGGCGCGGAGTCACAGGGGCGGAGTTGGTGGTAAGACGTGGAACACGCGGGTTGGAAAAGGTGGGAAGGGGAGAGTAAGGTGGTGTGGAGATGGTGGGGTTGGCCGGGGAAGACGAGGGGTGAGGGGAGACGGTATGGGGACGGGAGGGGATGCTGCTGCCTTGATGAATGAACAGTGCGATCGCGCTGTGGGAGACCGAGTCAGTGCCGTTGGAAAGGGGGGATGCTGGAGACAGTGCCGTTGGGGCGTGAATCTGAGCTAAGGAGCTGAGGGAAGAACGGTGAGAAGGGGGGAAAAAAGGCAGAGGAGAATGGGAACATGGGAAAATGCAAGAGGTGGTGTCTTTGTCAGGGCTAAAGAGTAAAGAGCTTCTGCAGCAGCGGCAGTTGTCAGGGGGTCACAAGTTGGTGCACGTGGGATACACAAATGCGAGGCTGGATGGGAGGATGCGAGTGAGAGCTGGGTGGGACGAGGAGATCAGGAATTTGGAGGAGGGAAGGTAGTCGGTGTTGGAGGTGTGATGGGGGAATGAATCTGAGTCTTAACTCCTCTCACTCTCACAACCATCTAGCTATGCAGCCACTCGCAGCAACTCCTCACCGACTCTCAGAGACTCCCACCCACCTGGGCGACAGCCAGCTACGCCCACTTCCCACCATCGCCAGCGACTGATTTGAACGGCTCGAGTGATTCAAGAGATTCCTACGCGCATCTCCCTCGCCCCGAGGCAACTCTCACCTTGGTGATGGATAGCCCGTTTCTCAACCGCCCCCCGGGGCCCTTGCCACCCATTCATAACACTGACTGACGAGATCACCCTCGTTCCTCTTGACTGAAATGTCCGAATCCTGCTCGCGACTCCACACACAAGGAGGGGAAGGGGGTGGAGAAGGGAGAGAGAAATGTGAGTAGCCCAGTGACCTGTGTAATGCATACATACATGCAGGCAAGGCTGTCGAGGGTGCTTCACAGGAGAGCACGGTCCGTGGCACAGGGAGGAGGGAAAGGGAAGGGCAAGGGGGAGGGCGAAGGGAGGTCGAGGGGAGGGCGAGGGAAGGGCGAGGGGAGGGCGAAGGAAGGGGGGAAGGGGGGGAAAGGAGGAGGAGCGGACCTGGCCCTTCGAGGAGCGCATGGCGTGGAAGAATAAGCGCACCACCGTGTAGCCTGAGCACTGCAATACCGTATAGCTCAGCTCAGGCGCGTTGCTTTAACTTATAAGCAGCAGCACCAGGAAGCAGATAATGTCATCCACCACATACTCCCCTGCCTGGCCAGCCACACAGGCATGCACAGTGGGAGAGGGCGGCGGAGAGGGAGGTATGTGGATGGATGTGCATCCGCTACTCAATAGCAGGCGTGAAGAGTTGCGAGTTAGTCATGATACAGATAGGGGTGCTTCTCAGTCGGGGAATCACGAGACAATAGGTGCATGATCTGATGCAAACATGCAAGGTAGGTTGATATGCGGAAAAGGGTGGCGGATGCGAGGAGGCGGGAAGGGAGGAGAGGGGAGGAGAAGGGAGGGGAGTAGTGAAGAGGAGGGGGGGGGGGGAGGAGAGGGGAGCGGGCGTACCTTAGTGATGACACGCCGCATAATCCCCAATGTCGTACATACAGCATGCTGGGCGCGTACCTGCATGCACCACCACGCACATGCACACCCCGCATGAATGAATATGCATCTCCCGCACACACGTGCGCATGCACAGCCGGCAGGACACACGCACGACAGGTTGACGCTTTCAGGCGCCTCAGAAAGGTGTGTGTCAGGACACGACACGCGGCGGGCAGCACAATCCGAGTGGGTGAAGGCGGGCAGCACAATCCGAGTGGGTGAAGGCGGGCAGCACAATCCGAGTGGGTGAAGGCGGACAGCACATGGCACACAACACGACATGTGGAGGGGAGGGAAGAAGAAAGGAGAGGAGGAGGGGAGGCAGGGGAGCGGGAGAAGGGGAGGGAGGGGGTGGCAGCGGCGCCTGAGGTCAGCGGCGCGCAGGAAGCCAGCATCTGCCGTGTGAGTCAAGGCCTTGAGATTACGCTCGTTCACCAGCGCAAGCGCACACACCAGCTCCAATCCAACGCTCTCCTCTTGATTGAAATGTCCGAATCCTGCTCGTGTAACCATGCATACAGGGGGAAAGGGAGTGGGGGTGAGGAATTGAGCACACATACCCACCCCACCGACTCTCAAACATAACCAGCTCTCAGCCCCAGTTGTTTCGCGCCGTGGTTATCCACTTTGGCACCTGCCCCACCCCCGTACCTACTCTCACCTTGCCAATACCAGCTCGTCAACGGCACCCCTCCCATCGCCGGTAACGCCAAGCGTTCTCGCCTCTGCTGTTGTTCTCGCCTCTGCCAGCCCCATCAGAAAGGCCCCCATTTCACCACGTTCGCTCTCTCCCTCCCCGCCCTGCTCGCCGCCGCCACTGCCGCCGCCGCCAACGCCGCTTGCGCTGCTTGATGGTGTCCCCGCTCGTCTCGCCGCCTGCCGCGACGCCTCTGGCTTTTGCCGTTCTTCTCTCTCTGCTTCTCTTGAATTATATCCTTGTATTCATCCATATTCTTCTTCTGTTGTGCTTCCACGGCTTCGCTGATCTCCCGAACATCGAGTGACTGATCGGATTGCGTGGAACCGGTGGCTTCATTATAAGTCGCCGAGTTGCCACTAGTACTAGCAGAACACTCAAAATCACCATCTTCACTCGCACGATCCGTCTACTAGGGTGCCGTCATTCCAGTCGTTTTCCAAAAGCTACTGCAGAGTCTTGAACCCTCAGATTTGCTTTTCGTTTGAAGATTAAGGGCGTATCTTCGGTTCGGGTCATCCACTGTTTGGGGCATCCGCGATTCTTGGAAGACCAATAAGGCGCATTTTTGGTACACTACTCGAACACCATTGGTTGTCCCATGACCCAAAGTGTACTGATGACCCAAACAGTGCCTTATGACCCGAACCCAAGATACGCCCTAAGGCCGGTTTCGGTGAGGACCGTTCGTTATACCGTTCGCGATGTGCTGGGAAAAGAAGGTAAGGATGTTGCGAGTTTAGCCATCCGCGCTCTTGATCACGGATTCGCAAAGAGGGGAAATAGGACGGGAGAAAACAATTGTAGGCGGCTCGGAGGATAGCTGGGTCACAGAGTCAGTCCCGTTGACCATTACGACAAGAACAGGCGGCTTGAGCATTGGCGCTAGGATACGAGGCAACACCAAGAATGTGGAGTCGCAGCAGTTCCGTAAGCTTCACATAGGACAGGCTAGGAGGAGCTGAAAAGCAAAATAGGATGCAAATACAGAGGCAAGCGAAGCGTGGCAAGCGAAGCGTTGAAAACAGTATAATCCATTCAGCTCTGATGCGCGCCGAGCTGATCGAAACTTTTTTATCCTCTGATCTCGAGGCTGATAACAACATACTAGGGTCTGTGATTTGGCCTGTCTGTGGCGATAGAGCCGATTTGTGTCCTGTGTACAGTACATTCAGGACGCGGCACCTGTTTGACCGATCCTGCGATCGATCCTGCGCAGGTTCGAATTTTTGCAGAGTTGAGAACTGTGTTGAGAGTTTTGAATACTTTCAGAGGAAATCAGTGCGGTGCAATCAGCGATCCTGCGATCGATCCTGCAAAAATGCAAACAGGTGCCGCGTCCTCATGCCAGAGCAGGTTCGGTTTTCTCGAGGTTCCATTCTGAATGACGGGCGAACCTGAGGTGAGGTTGGAGTTGGCGGGAATGACGGGTAACGCGCAAATCGCCACAAGGTTTGGTTTCCGCCAATTCCGACAACAACGAACCCAACACGTCGCAGAAACCCTCGCAAGCACTCCATGGATATATGAACCCCCCCGCGGGTGCCGCCCCCCCCCCCAACTCCAGGACGAGCCAGGACGATAGTTCGCTTTTTTACTGCCAAAATTTCAGGCGAACAAGGTTTCCCTGACGAGCCAGGACGAGCTTTCATATATCTTTTAGTTATATGACTCACGAAAAAGACGAAAATGATAAGAAATCGTGTTACATCGCCTCGCCGTCAGATTGGCGCACGAGCGTATCGCAGACGTTTCGCGCCCGTCAGATGGGAGCACGAGCGTCCCGCTGACGGTTCGCGGCTTATACGACGGTAACTTAGCCGTCGGACCCGTGAACTGCAAAGGTACAGTGGATCTAGGTTGCAATGCAATTCTTAGAATCCTAACAAATGACTTCAACATTCACATATGTGGATGAAGAAGCACAAGAAATGAGTGCAGTTTATGTCCGATTGTCAGGTGATCTTTTGATCATTTAATTGGCTCTTATTAACATAAGATGACCTCCTATAAATGAAACATTGCATTTCAGACAATTTAAGGAGGTTAATACCATGAATGAGCATTTTGTTCACTTCCTAGTTGATTGCTTCTTGTGTTGGCACCTGGTTGAATTTTTCACCAGTTTGTTTGTTTCCTGGTCCCCCATGGCCTACTGAACCTATTGGCAAGGTTTTGTTTTTCTGGCCAACTTTGACTTCTTTACTACTCTGTGCTTACAACACATGAACCTTGTATAACAGGCAATGTCAGTTTTCTAGCAAACAACATAGTTAGTGATCATGAAACACATTGTTCAGGGTTTTGCATGGTAATGACAGCTAGTGCTCCATCTAACTGTTTGCCACAACTGTCATGATATAGGAAGGTTACAACCGTCTGTTGCATATCCATCGTAACTTGTGCACGTAAGTCTCTTGACCACAAGTCAACCTACAGAGACCTTTATGGCTAAACCTTTGGTCGGTGGTTCCCTTATGCTATATAAAGGCACCATGCAAAAAATATGGTCGTTATGATATTTCCACATCAGTGCTTCTGCAACTTGCATTCTTTTGCATGTTTTGCCATAACTCAAGAATCATTGGTCCATTGACCTTAACGTTGTATGTCACTGTTTTTCTACACAACATAGCCTGTCTGCAAAGAATCTGATCAATCTAAGACCTCAACATCTCATTATCACCCCTTTATCTGTGTTGTACATTTTATGTAGTAAATCAAGAAGCAGGGGTCCAAATCCATTGAGTTTTGTTTGCTGTCATCTGTCCATCACATCAAACCTCTCTGTGAAAAATCAGACCACATCCCAATTTCTGGTTACTTTCCATGTTATGGGCCTATCTGAAACTAACACAATTTCAAGGCTAAGTCATTGCAAACAAGACTCTCTTTTCGGCTGTCAGAGCATCGTGTTTGGTGTTTCCCGCGTCGAACTGGTTGCACTTTCACATGCGATGGTGCAGAGGATTGCATCACTACGATATTTCCATCTCGTGCAGATCAGAAATTGAAGATACTCGCGCATTGTATACATCTCGCTGTATACTTGCAGACGAGATCGCAGATCGAGGTCGTAGTACCAGATTTGAGCATTGCTTAGATTGCCTGCCCGAACTTTGTCGGGAAGATGAGAGGTCGCTGAGAACAGTCATTGTCCTGCAATTTTGCAGATAGCTTTCTTTGTAGAACGCGATATCTGCGTGGTTTGTGCAACCTGATGGGTCTGGTGAATGCATGGTTTCTATGTCGACCACATCACAGGTGTCCGCGCAAGGTTGCAGATAGCGTTCGTGTATCGAGATTCATCGATGCACTGTTAACTTTGCGCGTATTATCACACATATGCGGGCAATCATATAGTGCAGGGTGGACGGATCGATGGCGACAAGCTGGAACGGCCATTGTCGTGCAACTTCGCATTTAGCACTGTTTCCGGTTGTTGAATGTGCATTGCATTCCAGATGTTTTGCAATTGCCAATCGCACCTCCAACTGGGAAGGAGTTTGTCCATTATAGCGAGTTCGAGATTTAGC